TTCAAAGATCTGTCATTTATTGAAGCAGCTTTCATCTCTTTAGATACGCAGAAAACTGGGAAATCAATATCTATAGAAGTGGTAGGTCAAAATGCGCTTTTTTACAAATACTTCTTTGAATTTCAGAATATCTTTTCAAATTCTACTGAATACTAAAAAGCAATCACTGTATCTTTTACTTCCAAGCGCAGAAATGCCCTCATCGCCAGACGAATGCGCGTATTTATGGACTCGTATTCAATTATTTAGCTGATCTGAAAATTTGTGGAAATCCTATCTTTTCTCCTAACTTATCTTATCCCATAGTATGGCCAGCTTTCGAGACAAATACGCATGATGCTGTTCTGGCTTTTGTTCTGGTTCAGCCAGAAGCAGCTGGCGGTTAGAACAAAACAGATGGACTCCGCCTACACAGCAACACCATCAAAAGTCTGATCAGTTTGAACACCGTGTTTTCCTCCCCTGAAAGCTCATAGCATTTCGTTTGAAGAAAAGAAGCTCATGAAACGCAGTGGTTTCGGAAATATTTCTGCTTCCAATGAAACTTCCAACTCAATGCAAGGCATTAAGGTCAAACTTTTCACATCTCTACAACTGATGGAAGGAAGCTAGAAGCAGAAACGACTTTAACTCTAAGAATTAATCACTGCAGAAGCTTCTGCTTTTTTCATTCATGGGAGTCCGTGGCGGCGTTACCCATGAATGAAGTTTCAAAAGTTCCTAAGGTCTCGCCGCTTTCTCCTCGAGCGAGTAATTTGGCGTCTTGGGGGAATCTATGCTTTCCAAATGCTAGGCTCCAGCTCCGCAAGTTGCTAGGCCTAGTGCCTACCATTACCATGCCTTTTTGGATGCCTTTCAGTTTAGATTGGGTGTTAGTTGATGAGAATAGACGCCATGCTTTCTCTTTTAATGAAAGTCTCATTTTCCTCTTGAGTTACATCTCCTTGTAACAAGTGACCTTGATACGTGCTATTTTGCTCATTCCACCAGGTACCCATACCACTTTCGATCCCGCCTTATTATACTGTCCAAAAAGTATTGCAAAAATCCCCGTACAACCTAATAAATTAGAAATATTTCAAAAGTTTCGTAGACGAAGATAGACCTAAAAACGCGCATTACAGCCTTCCGTGGGATTCGCGAATTTGCCCACTTCTGCTCTAAAACGGGAATGTTTTCTCAACAGAATGCTACAAAACTCTCTACTCAATGTTCCAAAGTTCAACGTTGTGCTCAATAAATGACCGGATGTTAGGAAAAGCACTTAGAAAAAGAAGTGTTTATTTTATTCACTAGCTAACTTTTTGGAAACTTCGAGATTCTTGATTAGTTTCTTCCAGTCAAGTCAAACATAAGGTAAAGTCGTTGTTTAGCTTACAATATTATTTTTCTAACGAAGGAGTGCAGGCTTGTTGCGTCATTTATAACAAGATGTATGCCAGTGAATTTTTCCTAGTTCTAAGTCAGCTTTCCATTTTACGAGGATTTTCTTCAGTTAAAGGTTTGGGTATTCATTTCTGCAGAGGTCACTAGAATAAGAGAAGTGTTGCATATGCACGTGCATGGCTAGTACCAAATAAGCTTATGTGAAGGATTGATCGCCGCTATCGTAGTTCCATTTTATACTCTAAATCACTTTGAATTGGTAGCAGACTCAAATGACTCCTATATGTGTTAAAAGGTTTTCAATGAGAGGCACAAAACCAAGGAAATATGAGAAACACAAGGCGACGAATTAAATCACGAGAGTAGTTTGGTTGAATCTAGTCACTAGAATGGTATCCTTACTCTCACTGCTTGCTCTAGGTCTTGCAGGTTTTTAGGACGACGTTTGAACATTTTAAATTTTATGTAACTTCACGAAATAAGGCGGCGTGGCAGGAGTTCCCAAAGCCTTGCCGCTTTTCCTTGAAGCGAAGCTATGAGCTTCCTCATAAACGCTAAACTTTGACTTTGCTCAATGCTCCGCCTACTGCCTGTCATCAGACTGGGCTGTGCAAGCCCGATAATAGATAAATCCAAGACCAGCGAGGAGAAGTTGACGTAATGTTTTTTTATGATGTCGTCTTTGATTTAGAATGAAGGATGATGACAAGTAGGATATCCTTAAATATTTACATTCACACAAACTCTCATTCCTTCCATATAAGCTGAACTTCTGCTCAAATTCACTAGCTTGTGTCATATTGATGGTGTTTTACGACTTACAGTCTAAAGCACTTTGAGTTGATAAGAAATGATCCTATATCGAATGCATCCCTTGGGTTTGATTTCTATGTCCGTCATTGGGCTTGCGCAGCCCAGTCTCAGGGCATAATGGAGCAATGGACGGAGCTAAAGCCTAGTGCTTGAGAGACATTAGTTACCTCCAGGACGCCTAATTACTCGCTCCAGGGAAAAGCGACGAGGCTTTGGGAACTCCTGCGCGCCCTCCACGAAATAAGCCACACGGGAATGAATCGGGTGAATGTACTGAAAGCCGGACGGCAAAACCACGTTGTGCATTCGTCTCCGCCCTATTGATGGCTGGTGCTGAACGTAATAAATATTTCTCCCTTTTCTCCATCCATTCTCCACTCTCTACTCCAACTCTCCCACTACCCACAGCACAGCAAAAAAAATAGGGGGGATGTTTTCTTGCACCCTGTAC